TTCCTTTTCACATATAACATCTCCTATACTCCCCACACCACTCTGAGAGAGGTGCCTGGTGAGGAAACAGGCTCAGAGAGGTAGAGTGATTTGCCTGAGGTCACACAGTAGCCAAGATTTGAGCCGAGGACTGTTTGGCTCCTGCTCTCCGCGACAGATCCCTTGGTGCCAGACTCAAGAGCACTCACCCCGGGACCCACAAATACAGATGGGGGTGCCTGGCAGCAGGTAGAGCCAGAGCTGAGGCCTCCCAGCTAGGATGCCAGGGTTCCTGGACTTGTGGCTCTGGGCACTGGGTTCCCTCTCTGGCCTCCAGCCATTCTTGAGACTGAGGAGTGAAGGGAAGCCCAGAGGACCGCGAGGGCTTTCCTTCCACTGATTTCTCCGAGTCAGCAGAAAAGGAACTTTGAACAGCCAGAGAAAGACCCACTGGGAATTTCCTGCTGGTAAAGCCATCTGGGTTCACTTGTGAGCTCCCTGCCCTTCCTCCGGAGACAGAAATCCAGCTGCCAGGGTCCTGGCTTCTCGACCTCTCGGGCCTCTCAGGCAAAACTTGGGGAAATGAGGGGGCCTGAGGCTGGAGGCTGGGCCAACTGAATCATCCTGAATAGGAAGCTGGGAGGTGGGCTGTCTTGCAGGAGGCAGCTTTCAGCAAAAAGATGATGTGACAGTGAAAATGGGCTGCTGGGGAGGGAGTGAGCTCCCTGTAACTGGAGGCATCCCAAGTTGGTAGGCACTGGATGCTCCCCGTTTAGGAAATTCAAGATAACCAGTGACTGAGTGCTGCATCGTTCTCCTCATCACTGCCGTCATAGCAGCACTGATTAGATACCCTTTGTGTCAGGCACTTTAAGATACAACTGCCACCAGTGCTAATAAAAATAGCAGCTCCTGTGTACTCAGCCCTTTTGCGCTTGATCATCATTGACTCCTCACAGAACCCTGTGAGGCAGGCACTATCGTTAGGCCCATTTATGGATGAGGAAACTGAGGCTCAGAGAGGCACGGCAGCAAGATTCAGACTCTGCCTGGCTGCTGCGTCTGTGATCTGCTCACCTGGGAGTTGGCCTCCTGGCACCCAGGCAGAGGGACCAAAGCGGGAGGCAGGGCGGCCTCCCCAGCTAGGGCTCTGGGTCCCCCCAGTCCCGGAGCCTTTCCTGTTCTGGGCAGCACTATGGCCCAGGTGGGCGCCCTCTGCTGGCCATGCTCTGGTTCTGCAGAGCCATGTTGTTTTCAGGCTGAGGGAGACCCTGGGATGTGGGAGGTGGGTGGGCTCTTGACCCTAGACCCTCACATTAGATGGTGGTACCTGAGGTCACCCAGCCAGTCAGGGACTGAGCTAAGGTTTGAATCTAAGCGTCGTCTGATTCTCAGCCTCCCGTCCTTCCACCCCTCCCTGGTGGGGAAGGAGTTTTACTCCAGCAGCCTTCGCATCCTCCACCCCCTCCCTGCATCTGGACCCCCTAAAACAGAGCCTCTAGCCCCACTGCTCCTGAGGGATCTTAGTGACTGTGGTTTGTAGCTGAGAATCTGTCTCCAAAGGCAAATCTGGGGTCCACGATTTGAGGTAATTTGAGGCATAGAGATGCTACTGACTAGCTGTGTGACATTGGGCAAGATTCTCAACCTCTCTGAGCACTGTCAGATGGGAGTCAGTTCCTTTGTAGACTCTGAAGAACTGAAGAAATTGGAGGAGGTCTCTTTTACCCATTTAGAAGGTCTTTACTCAGACCTCTCCTCTACCTCTTCCCTCCTCCCCTCCTTTCCCCCTCCTCCTCCCTCCCCCCCTTCTTTCTCTCTTGCTCCTCTTCTCCACTCCCCACTATCTCTTCCACCACTCTGTGGTGTGGATATTATCTTTCTTTTCAAGAGGAGGCATTTGAGGCTCAGAGAGGTGGAGTAACTGGCCCAGCGACACCCAGCCAGGTGTTTTGGTTTAGAATCCAGACTTTGGTGAGCTGACCCCTCCCCTGTTCCCTCTTCACCTCCTCTCTCCTCACTCATCACATCTCATCCATCAGCTCCTCCTACAAAACTTTCCCCAAACCCTCCATCAACTTCTCTCCTTGTCCCTTGCCACTACCCAGGCCAAGACCCATCTTTTCTGGGCTGGTGACTGCAGCAGCCTCCTTGCTTCCTCACAGGTCACTCGGCCTGGTTTTCTGCAGTCTGGCTTACACACTGGAGCAGGTGAAGTGACCCTTTTAAAATGTAAATCAGATCATATCACATCTCTTTTTGAAAGTTTCCACTGCAAGTGGAATAAATCTAAGCTCCATTCCACTCCCTCAGGCCCTGTGCTATTGATCCTAGTCACCTTTATTTCCTCTTTCTTCCCCATGAAGCCCCAGTCTCACTGGCTTCTTTAAGTTTCCTGACCATGCCAAGCCTGCTTCTGCTCCAGGGCCTTTGCACTTGCGGCTCCTGTGGCTGGAGCACCCTTCCTGGGATGTGTGTTGTGCCTGCCCCCCTTTCCTTCTTAGTTCAGATGTCGCCCCCTCAGACCACACTACCTAACATTTTCCCACTCAGCCATTCTCAACCATATTCCCCCATTTTTGCCAGAGCCATGTGAGTCTCCGAAGATATTGTACTGTCGTTAGCTCCCTTGTTTCTTGCCCATCTCTCCCACTGGAACATGAGATCCATAGGGGAGGGACCTTGTCATCCTGTCCACAGCTGTGTCCCCAGGACCTAGCATAGGACCTGGCAGTTAGTAGATGCTCAATATGTGTTTGTTGAATGCAGAAAGCCCTCCGCAGCCCTGACTTCTTTTGCATGCTCAGAGCAGTCTTTCAAATCCAATCCTATTTTTCCTGCTCCCACTGTCACAGCCCAGAGCTTGTAGCAACCCCTCCCATCCCTCCCTGCCACCCTACTCTGCCTCCCTTCCTTCTCCTCCACATAGACAATATGCTCTCCCAGGCCTCAGGCCAATGATTCCTTTTTCCCTCTGTCCTTTTTGCCTCATTTGACTAATTCCCACCTGACTGTCAATACTAATTAACTCAGGTATCACCTCCTCCCAGAAGCCTTCCCTGCTTTCCTTTTAAGTTAATACTCTCTCCTGGCCCCTGAAGATCCTTGGTCCCTCCTGGTCCATAAGGCAGTCCTCTCCTTGTATATTAAGAATATCTCTCTCCTTAAGGAGCTCCTCAAGAACTTGGACCAATCTGGTTCATCACGATGTCTTTGGCACCCAGCCCAGACTGCCTGGCACAGGCATTCAAGAAACATTGATCTGGGCTGGCCTCATCATTGCTGTGATGGGGACTTTGGGGGATTAGACCAGACCAGTGTCTCCCAGCTGTATGACCCATGGCAAACTACTTCCTCTCTTTAAGACTCAGTTTCCTCATCTGTAAAATGAGTATAACATTCCCAACTTCTTAGGGTTGTGAGGATTCAAGAGAAACTTCTCTAGTGTATGTAGTGCTCTGGCATGTGGAAACTGTTAGGTGAGTGGTGGGTCCCTTTTCCAGTGTGGACTTGGGCCTGGGCTTAGCAACTGCCTCTGGGAGCAGCCAGCCCCCTCAAGCCCTTCAGGGGAGGAAAATGTCTATCCTCTAGTGAGCCCTGGGCCCAGGACCTCTGAGGAGCCCTCAGAGCTGAAGGGAAGATATAGGCAGACTGGATCAAGCCCTGAACTTGAAGCCGCATCACTGAATTTAAGACATGGCTCCATAATTCACTGGCTGTGTTACCCAGTGTGAGTCCTCACACCTCTCTGAGCCTCAGCTTCCTGATCTGGAACAGGAGCTAATAACACTTATCAGCCAAAGACTCAAAATAACATGGACAAAAAGCCAAGTCTGGGTAGGCGCTTGATTACTGGTCCTCAAAGCAATCTCCTTCCCTTCTCCTAATTCTTCCTGTGATTTGGGGTTTGTGTATCTAGGGGACCCCCTAGACAGGGCCATGACCATTCTAGGTGGCAAAGAGGAACCTCCCCATTCTAAATGCTAACCTGCAGCCTGGGTTAGGGGCTGGGACTCTGGACAGCTCTGGACACTCAGGAGGCTCCAAATGCTGGTGACCTCACCAGGTGCCAAAGTGTAAGTGACCAGTCAGCCCCCTAGGAGGTGTCTGTGGGGTCCTCCAAATGCAGATCATCTTTGGAGGACAGAGGCCCACCCCTCACGCCCCCCACCCAGATCCCCGTTCATGCATTTAATCATTCTTCCACTGCTGTATTTCCAGAAGGTTGCACAGAGCCTGGTACATAATAGGTCTCAATAAATATATGTTGTAAGAACAAGTTTTTGTGTTCAACACACTTATTGTCTACTGCTCTTAGCCCTGTGCTAAGAGATGGTGTACAGATGGTGCACACAAAGGAACTGGTCCTGACAGCTCTCTCCCAAGATCACCCAGGGGGGCTCTAAATCCTCCCAGCTCTTCCCACTCCAGAGCCAGCTTCCACTGGTTGCCAAGCTCCAGGCATCAGGACTTTTCCCAGAATCGAGGTAATGCCCAAGCACCCCATGCATCATGGGGCCTGGGAAGGCTGCACACCTGCAGCCACAACTCTCCAAATCCTCTCTGTCTTTCATGCCCCGTCCTCCAGCCACGCTTCCCCATCCCTCTAAAAGCCTCAGACACAGCCATCTCCGCCCACCCAGTGCCCTACATCTACCTGGGGTTATACCCAACGTGGCCAGCGGGTGGCGCTGAGACTCCCCTTTCCCCAGCGCTGGACTGGACTCCACACCCCACCAGGACCCTGTCCCTCCCTCATTTTCTCCCCAGCACGGACAGGAGCGGACTCTGTGACCTCTAACTGACCCCTCTTTTTCCTGCTGGCTCCTGCGATGAGGCCTGAGGAGACTCCAGTTGCTCCTGCAGGCCCCGGGTTGTCTTTTCCTGCCTGGTGGGTGAGGGGGGGGGTCCCTAGGGGCCAAGCTGCAGCTGGTGGGGCGGGGCTGGGCGGGGTGAGGCTGAAAGCAGCTGCCGGGTGAGAGAAAGAAAAAGAGAGAGAAGAGAAGAAGGAGCGGGAGGGAGAGGTGCTCTGGTTCCCGGGCTCCTATCCCAAGCAGGTGGAGGTCCCAGCTGAGGCTCGCCCCAGGATAAGGTATGTGGCTGAGGAAGCAGAAGGGGCCAGAACCTAACCCGCTAGCCCCTCAGTACCCCTAGGCCTGCTCTGCTGCTCAGCAAGAACCCCTGAGCCCCCTCCCATCTCACCCCTCCCAAGGTGACCAAATAGAGACTTGGGGGGCAGTACAGGAGTCGAGGGGTGGGCATTAGGAGGCAAAGGCTCTATTGCTGTTCTGGACTCGATACGTGAATTTGCACCAAGCTCTTCCCGTCTCTGAACCTCAGTTTCTTAATCTAAAATGGAGGCAGAGGCCGGGGGCTCTTGAAGATGTTTTGTGGGATAACTTTGCAAGGTGTCCCTTTTTCAAAAAGAATTCGTTCTTTCAGGGGCTTCTGAAGACCAGAAGGCTTTTTTTTTTTTTTTTTTTTTTTTGCGGTACTCGGGCCTCTCACTGTTGCGGCCTCTCCCGTTGCGGAGCACAGGCTCCGGACGCGCAGGCTCCGGACGCGCAGGTTCAGCGGCCATGGCTCACGGGCTTAGCCGCTCCGCGGCATGTGGGATCTTCCCGGACAGGGGCACGAACCCATGTACCCTGCATCGGCAGGCGGACTCCCAACCACTGCGCCACCAGGGAAGCCCCAGAAGGCTTTTAAGACCCAAAGGGATGCGCCCCTAGTGGTGGAATTTCAGGCAGTGCAGGGAGGGGGTCATTTAGAAAGATGGGTGGTCCCTCCATGTCAGGGGCCCTGAGGCCCTGGTCTGTGCCTCTCTCCTCAACCTAGTTTCCCTGACTGGGACTCATGGTGGAGAGTGACACAGGGTGGTGGGTGGGAGCTTCCCCAGGTGTCTGGTGCTCCAGAGGTCCTCTCATTAGGGAGAGGGTGGTGGGCGCAGGGTGAGGGTATTTCTCTGCCACTCCAAGATCAGAAAAAGAGTGGATTAGGCAGCAGGGTGTGTGGCACCAAGGTAGGGACAGTGGTAGGCTTATGGATGTCCCCAGGGTAATGAGGGAGGGGTCACCCGAGCCCTTTTTGAACTGTGGCTGCTGGCCACGTCTCCAAAGTCCCCTGCACTTCAGAGTCATTAGCTCATTCACTGCTCACATCCTTCAACCAGTCCAGAAGGGTGGGGGCAGGGGGGCTGGAGCCATTCCTCCCTCACCCTGCTCTTGGGAAGAGATTGTTCCAGATTGTTCTCTGGCTGGGGAGAAGCTGGCACGGGCAAGTTTTAGGATCTCAGGGATCCCAAGGTGGGAGGCAGTCCAGTCAAGCACATGATGGGGAGTCAAATCAGCCTCTGTTCAAATCCTGGCTCTGCTGTGGGTCCTTGGGGGAGTCAAGTAACCTCTCCTAGCTGCAGTCTCCTCCTGTGGAAAATGCGGACAACAGAGCGGGCCCTTACAGGGTTGCAGTGAGAAGCAGTCGACATGATGCAAGTAAAGCCCCCAGCGCGCAGCTGGCACCTATGAGATGCTGTTGCTCTCATTATGGAGGGAAAAATGGAGGTCAAGAAGGGAAGGACTGGCCTGGGGTCACAGAGTTAGGCCCTCCAGTGAGTCAGAGCACCCTCTTCTCAGCCCCATGGCAAACGCTGAGCACCTACTGTCTGCACCCCAGCACCTACGGAGCACTCTATAGTCACCCCCATCCCTACTAGGATTGCTCCCCTCTGCTCACTCCTGTCCCAGCCTGCAAGGCCTCGGGTCTGGGGCTGGGGAGGGGAGAGGGGTGGGGACCGCCAGGCGCGGGAGGGCAGGTCAGCTTTGGGGCGGGTGCGATGGGAGCCCAGAGGAGAGTCTCCGTGGCACTTGTCCTCCCTCTCCCTCGGGAAAGGGCAGCGGTGGCGGCCGGGTCAGGGCTGCGCGGCGGGGAGAGAGGCTGCGTGCGAGCCTGGGGCTGAGCACAGTGGGGCACGGAGAACCCCGCTCGGGCTCCGGCACAGGCGAGAGGGTGGCAGCGCGGGTCGGCGAAGCCCCGCGGGCCGGGTCATCGGGGGTGGGGGCGGCGAGGGGGCGCCCTCCGCCCCTCACCCCGCCCCCGCGCCTCTCCCCGCAGCGGGGGTGCCCCGCCCCTCGGGCGCCCGACGTGGACGCGGCCGCCGCCGCCGCCGCCGCGCGGGAGTCGCTGTCCGCGGAGCCGACATGCAGGCGGCGCGGGGCGGCACGGGGCGGCCGGGCCGGGCGGGCCGCGGGCCGGAGCGCCAGCGCGA